GCAACTGAAAATACCATGGCTTGTGTCAGGTGCATCAGAGTCCTCAAGGAGACATCTCTGCTCTTCAGCAAGTGAAAGAGGTCATTTGCAGCTGATTTGCTCAGTGCTATATGTCATCTGATGTCCTGACTGCTGCTTCCATTGACATCGATTATAGAACTAAGCAATGTGAAGTCTTTGACAACTTCCATGTTTTCTCCATTCATCATGATGCTGCTTATAGGTCCAGTTGTGAGGACTTTTGTTTTCTTTATATTTAGATGTAATCATACTGCAGACTGTATTCTTCAATCTTCATCAGTAAGTGCAAGTCATCCTCACTTTTAGCAAGCAAAGTTGTGTTGTCAGAATATTGCAGGTTGTTAATGATTCTTCTTCCAATCCTGATGCCACGTTCTTCTTTATATAGTCCAGACTCTCAGATTATTTAAGCAGCATACAGATTGAATAAGTATGGTGAAAGGATACAACCCTGACACACTCCCTTTTTGATTTTAAACCATGCAGAGTTCCCGTGTTCTGTTCAAACGACAGCCTCCTGGTCTTTGTATAGGCTCATGAGTACAATTAAGTGTTCTGAAATTCCTATTCTTCTCAATGTTGCCCATAATTTGTTATGATCCACACAATCAAATGCTTTTGCATAGTCAATAAAACACAAGTAAACATCTTTCTGGTATTCTTTGCTTTGAGCCAAGATCCATCTGACATCAGCAATGATATCCCTCGTTCCATGTCCTCTTCTAAATCTAGCTTGCATTTCTGCAAGTTCTCTGTCAATATACCGCTGCAACCATTTTTTAATTATTTTCAGTAAGATTTTACTTGCATGTGATATTAATGATATTGTTCTATAACTTCCACATTCTGTGGGATCACCTTTCTTTGGAATGGGTACAAATATGTATCTCTTCCAGTCAGTTGGTCAGGTAGCTGTCTTCCAAATCTTTTGGCATAGCCGAGTCAGTGCCTCCAGTGGGCCTCCATTTGTTGAAACAGCTCAACAGGTATTCTGTCAATCCCTGAAGCCTTGTTCTTTGCCATTTCCTTCAGTGCAGCTTTGACTTCTTCCTTCAGTCCCATTGGTTCTTGATCATATGCCACCTCCTGAAATGGATGAAGATCGACCAGGTCTTTTTGGTACAGTGACTCTGTGTATTCCGTACATCTTTTGATGCTTCCTGCATTATTCAATACTTTGCCCATAGACTCTTTCAACTTCTCAATCAATTGCAACTTGAGGCTTAAATATTTTCCTCAGTTCTTTCAGCTTGAGAAATGCTGAAAGTGTTCTTCCCTTCTGGTTTTCTAACTCCAGGTCTTTGCACATTTCATTATAGTAATTGCCTTTGTCTGCTTGAGCTGCTCTTTGAAATCTTCTGTTCAGCTCTTTTATCTTGTCATTTCTTCCATTTGCGTTAGCTACTCTCCACTCAAGGGCAAGTTTCAGTCTCTTCTGACATCTGTTTTGGTCTTTTCTTCCTTTCTTCTCTTTTTAATGACCTCTTGCTTTCTTCATGATGTTCTTGACATCATCCCATAATTCTTCTGGTTTTCAGTCACTGGTGTTCAATGCATCAAATCTATTCTTTAGATTATCTCTAAATCCAGGAGGGATAGATTCCATGTCATATTTTGACTCTTGTGGACTTGTTTTAATTGTGTTCAACTTCAAGTTGAACTTGCATATGAGCAGTTGACGGTCTGTTGCACAATCAGCCCCTGGGCTTGTTTCGGCTGAAGATACTGAGCTTTTCCATTGCCTCTTGCCACAGATGTAGTCAATCTGATTTCCTGTATACTCCACCTGGTGAAGTCCACGTGTATAGCTACCATTTGTGTTGTTGAAAAAAAACCGCAATGAATTAAGTCGTTGGTCTTGCAAAATTCTATCATGTGATCTCCAGCATTATTTTTGTCATCAAGGCCAAATTTTGAACTACTAGTGATTCTTCTTTGTTTCCAATTTTTGCATTCCAGTCACCAGTGATAATTAACATATCTTGATTTCATGTTCAGTCAGTTTCAGACTGCAGAAGTTGATAAAAATCTTCAATTTCCTCCTCTTTGGCTTTGGTGGTTGGTGCATAAATTTGAATAATAGAAGTATTAAGTGGTTTTCCTCATAGGCATATGTATATTATCCTACCATTGACAGTATTGTACTTCAGGACTTATCTTGAAACACTCTTTGTAATGATGAATGCCACGCCATTCCTCTTTGTCACTCCTGGCTTAGTAGATCATATGGTTGTCTGATTCAAAATGGCCAAAACCGGTCCATTTCAGCTCACTAATGCCTAGGATATCAATCTTTATGTGTTCCATTTCATTTTTGACAACTTCCAATTTTCCTAGATTCACACTTTGTACATTCCACGTTCTGATTATTAATGGATGTTTGCAGCTGTTTCTCCTCAATTTGAGTCATGCTACATCAGGAGATGGAGGTCCTGTGAGTTTTACTTTATCCTTATCGTTAAGGTCGGTTCTACTCCAAGGAGGCAGCTCTTTCTCAGTCATATTTTGAGTGCCTTCTGACCTAAGGGGCTTGTCTTCCTGCACTCTATCGGACAATGTTTCCAGCCTGTTCATAAAGTTGTCTAGTGATGTATCAGACAGTGTTTTTCTGCTATTCATAAAGTTTTCCCTGGCCAATTCTTTCTTCTTCCTAGTCTGTCTCAGTCTGTAAGCTGCGTTGAAACCTGTGCACCATGTGCAACTCTGCTGGCATTTGAAACACCTGTGACGTAGCCTCAAGCCTCACAGCAACATGCAAGGCACCACAGTAGGACGAACTGACAGATAAGTTTGTCTTGCTTAGCTGTTTGAAACCTCTCCACCTTCCCCTTACGTGGATCCCACAGCTCTTCCCCACTTCCTGCCTTTTGGGGAGGGGCCTTGTCTCCCTCCCCTTACCTGGATCCTGCGGCTCTGTCTCATCCCTGCCTCTTCCCCTGCTTCCTGCCTCTTGGGGTGGGGCCTTGTGTCCCTTCAACTGTACATTAATAGTATAAGAAAGAACATGGGTGTCTGATGGAGTCTTACTGATGCAGGAGAAAATTTTGGATATTAGTTGTGTGACATTGGGCAAGTAATTTCATACATTTAATTTTCCTCTTCTGAAAACTGGGCTAATACAATGTATATCTTAGGTGTATTATGAAGACTAATAAAAAGGAAATATCTGATATACAGGCAATCTATACATTAGTGCTACCATATTTCTTCCCATGAACAGCTATCAAACTAGGCTGGATCAACAGTAGAGGACCTACGACTTTGGGATGCCACAAACTGAGAACTCAAAGGAATAAAAAATGCCAAGAAAAGGGGCAAATTCCTCCAGAAGAATGGGTGGTATAAAAAGCTGTAACATTAGGTTTTTGAGAAAGGCTAATCATCCCATCTGTACAGCTAAGAGAGGTAAACTAAGTGTACTGCTCTCATCACCATGCCCTTAAATTGTAAGAAGTTAGGGACAGGGAATGGGGATCGAGAACATAGAATTGTTGATATGATTTTAGTCCCTATTTTGAATTTGATCAAGAAAGCTATGAGAGAGGATTCCATATATATTAACTAGCCAAAATTTGTAAAACTTCGTAAAGAAAGGTTCCTTCCTCAGTTTGCAATGACTCCCTGTGTCTGGGAGTAAAGTGGGGATCCTTTGCTAAATTGAAGACTTTACATATATTATAGAGAACCCCAAGATGTTGTGGGAAAGTTTTTTTTTTTTTTTTTATGTGTGTGTGCTGGAGGGTAGTTTTTGTTCTGTCTTTTGAGTTTGCATGGTCCATAGCTAGAGGGCAGGATTTATGGTAGTAGTGCTCACAAGGAGATCTCTCACAGCTTTGCAGTGAAAGTGGGGATTTCTTCTCAGTCTGCTTCTCAGAACTGAGATTTTTTATAGTTGGTAGAGTTGTTATCCAAGCTGTCAAAAGCCCAGATAGCATGGATTTAATTAACTACATGTTTTAGGTACCTGAATTACCAGTTAGGTCAGATTGTTCTGAAAGGCCTTAGAAACTTAGGATGCTGTTAGAAGATGAGGGAGGATCCAGAATACGAGTCAATTTGAAAGCATTAGGTACTGATGCACAGATGTACTTCTTAGCCCACCCAATAATACTTCCTCTATGATTGGCCCATATGTATGGCACATATGAAGTAGTGTGATAACTTGACAGGTGAGAAAAAAGCACTTAACTTTTTCAATATATAATACTTGACCTGCTGACATAATAGTTTAGGAGATGAAACATTTGTGATTTAAGTTTTCAACTGTGTAGTACCTTTGCTTCTTCTCTGCTTCCTGGCCCACTCACATTTTGAGGTTTGGAAATTAATTGGAATCTCTACTTTGCTTAGGCTACATGTTCAACCATACATTAATAGTATAAGAGAGAGCATGGGTGTTTGATGGAGTCTGACTGATGCAGGAGAAAATTCTGGTTACTAGCTGTGTAACATTGGGCAAGTAATTTTATAGACTTCATTTTCTTCTTCTGAAAACTGGGCTAATACAATGTACATCTTAGGTGTATTATGAAGACTAATAAAAAGGAAAACATTTACAAAACATCTAGGAAAATATCTATGTTGTTGTTGTTGTTGTTATGTGCCGTCGAGTCAAACCCGACTCATAGCGACCCCTCCTTGGGTTTCCGAGGCAGTATCACTACGGATAGTAGGATTGCCCAACCTTCCTTCCGAGGAGTGGCTGGTGGGTTTGAACCGTCAGCCGTCTGGTTAGCAGGCAAGTGTCTTAGCCACTATGCTACCAGAGCTCCCAGAAAATATCTATAGGAAATCTAATGTTGATATTCACATGACTGAAAAGTAGTATCAGTGTAGATATAAAAAGATAACGTCTTTCTCTAACAAAGTTTATTTTTGAAGTATATTTAGTTTCATTTTTTTTGTGTGGAAATTTACTTTGTTCAACACAAATTAATACAAGAACAAATAATTATCTGCAGAAAACACTCCCATCTCACCTTAGTTGCTTCATTGATGATTTGGAAGCTGGTGCTGTCTTTGCCTGTTGCGACTGTGTCTAGTAATGCTCGATAGGTGGACTTCTTGGAGAGCTGTTGTTTCTGACGCCTACAGATATGGAGTATACAGATGCTTGAGAATTATTTTTGACTGTCAGCATCCAAAAGACTATCATGTGGAAGTCACATTAAAATGGAAGATGATAATAAGTGAACTGGGCATAGACATTATTGCTGTTGTTGTTGTTAGCTGCTGTCAAGTCACCCCCAGCTCATGGTGACCCCATGCACAATGGGACTGGACCATTTGTGATCCATAGGGTTTTCATTGGCTGATTTATTTGGAAGTATATTGCCAGGTTGTCTTCCTAGTTTGTCTTAGTCTAGAAGCTCTGCTGAAAACTGTTCAGTATCACAGCAATATGCAAACCTCCGCCTACATTTGAGAGGTGGCTGGGCCTGAAGTACAATGACCAGCAATCAAACTCTGGTCTCCTGCATGGAAGGTGAGAATTCTACCACTGAACCACCACTGCCCCGCCAGACATTACTAGTACTCTAATACAGTATTAATAAGAGTATTTTAGTTTTAGACTTCTAATAAATTTAGTACTAATAAAGAAGTACTAATGAAATTATTCAACACAACACTGCTCAAGAATGATATCTTGTATACTTTACTGAAAAGGTGGGGCAATTTTCATAGATGACATTTGTGTGCTTGTTAATATCCTTCCCTCTTTCCAAGAAATGAACACTAAGAGAAACTCAATATATTCTAGTGGAAATCCAATATAATCCAGTAGTTTAATAAAGTGACTAGCATTCCCTTTAATTTCCTGTTCAGAATTAAAACATCATTATCTTCCTCCAGAGCAAATAAATTAGAAAGTTATATAATCCAATTTTTGATGATCTTAGTTTTCCAGATAATATAAATGCATATATATATATTTAAAATAAAAGCTTTCAAAGAAATATTTATTATGAGGTTCTAGGGAAAAACGCAGTCATACAGTGGTAATGGGAGTACAAAGTAGCACATTCCCCATGGAGGAAAATCTGGTAACATTTAAGAAAATATCAAATGCATTTACTCTTTGACCCAGTATACTCACTCCTGGAAATCTATCCTATAGATACACCTATTTTTGTAGGAAATGACTTATGTATAAATTTTCATTATGGCAGTGCAAAAGACTGAAAAAAACCCAAGGGTCTAGCAATAAGGGACAAAACAAAAACCACTGCTATCTAGTCAATTCTGACTCATAGTGACCCCCACTGGGTTTCCAAGGCTATAAATCTTTATTAAAGTAGATTGTCTCATCTACCTTTTACGGAGCAGCTGGTGGGTTTAAACCGCTGACCTTGTGTTTAGTAGCCAAATGCCTTACCCACGATGCCACCAGAGCTCCTTTTGCAATAGAGGACAGACTGAGTAAATTATACTACATCTACCCAATGGAATACTACATGGCTGTAAAAAGGGAGAAGGATGATCTCCATGTCATGTGTTAAGATCTTCAAGATAAATTATGTAGAAGAAAAAAGAAAATACACAACAGTGTACCACAGAAAGCTACTCGATGTAAAAAAAGTGGGAGATATAAGAATATATATTTATAAAATGAAGCATGCAAAGAATAAATAAAAAACTAATAAATCTTGTATTTACAGGAACAAGGTAGGGAATGGGGTACAATAGGAAAGGGGTGGGAATAATTTTTCAATGGTGGTGTAGTACCTAAGACATCTGACTGCTAACCAGAAGGCTGGTGGTTCAAACCCACCAGCCACTCCTCAGAAGAAAGGTTGGGCAATCTACTTCTGTAGTGATACTGCCTCAAAAACCCAAGGAGGGGTTGCTATGAGTCAGATCTGACTCGATGGCAATGAGTTTTTTTTTTTTTTTTTTGGTACTATATACTGTCTTCTTTGTATATATTGTCTTATGTTGATTTTTAAACCATGTGAAAGTATTATCTATTCAAAAACAGAAAATTCAAAACCAAATTTAAAAACATTTTGACTTTTAAAATAAAACACTTGTTTATTAAAAAATTCAAATAATATAGATAGAAAATATTGTTGTGTGCCATCGAGTCAGCCCCGACTCAGAGCAACCCCTCCTTGGGTTTTTGAGGCAGTATCACTACAGAAGTAGATTGCTCAACCTTCCTTCGGAGGAGTGGCTGGTGGGTTTGAACTACCAGCCTTCCGGTTAGTAGTCAAGTGCCTTAGGCACTATACTACCAGAGCTCCTATGTTGTTGTTGTTGTTATGTGCCGTCGAGTCAAACCTGACTCATAGCGACCCCTCCTTGGGTTTCCGAGGCAGTATCACTATGGAAGTAGGATTGCCCAACCTTCCTTCCGAGGAGTGGCTGGTGGGTTTGAACCGCCAGCCGTCTGGTTAGCAGGCAAGTGTCTTAGCCACTATGCTACCAGAGCTCCTAGAGCACCTATAGAAAGTATTATATAAAATTAAAAGACCTATTTCTGATGAATGCCTTTATCATTAAATTTAATTTACCCTTTCCTTAGAAAACATATTAGTTTTCAAGAATTTAATAAGCATCAATTCTGAAATACTGTCAGAGATGTTTTGATGTGGAAATACATTTTTTTTCCTTACCTGTAGAAAGCAATCTTACTGCAGTCTTTGAAAATCTTTTTATCCACAGCCTCATCTTCAACACTAAACAAAAAGATATTTTGTGAAACTTATTTTACAGTTTTTGTATTTTCTTTAACTATAGTGTGAACATGGAAAAGAAACCTTCTGAGTCTACACTGCAATGCAAAATTGTGTTGTGCAGCAGCCATAATGTAACATGGTAACACATGGGCTGCAGAACAAAAGTTGCAAGTAAAGGGATACAGCTGGAATATTTCTGATTGGTTGACATTTACAAAGTTGGTAGCTGACAGACCAAAAGTCTTAAAGGGGGTGTTAAGTTCTCCTTGGGTTTAGGCCAACAAGGTTATGGAAAAGTACATAGCATAAGGGAGTCAGAAAAAAAGCCTTTTTTCTGAGGAGTAAAGGTCACATGCTTCCTGGCACATTAGATCATCTAGATGTCTGTAGCCTAGTTTTTGAAGTTAGCAAAGCTGAAAGGGTTTCTGAGAAATGGTCTAAGGGATAAATTAATGGAGTTATATCTGCATTATATTGGTGGACTCTGTTAAAATATGAATGCAAAGAGTTTGTTGAAAGAATAAAATGATCACAGGTTGTGGTAGTTAAGGTTATGTGTCAACTTGGCTGGGCCTGGTTTTGAATGGTTGGGTTGTTGGATATAGTTATTCCCCAGGATGAGACTGGTAATCAGTTCCATGGAGGAATCTATTGGAGCAGCTGAGTAGCTGCCTTAGGGATATGGTCTGCTTCTAGCATATAAGGAGAAGTTTTGAGAAAGGTCTTTGCAGCTTTTGGGCATGCTTAGCTCTTGTGTGTAGCTGAGTCTTCTCTCACCAGCCTGCTATGTTTCCTGCCAATCTTAGAACTTACATTAGCGGCCTTTTTATTACATTAGTGCCATTTTATTTGTCGACCTTGGGCTTGTTAGTCTCAGCAACCAGCAGCACCCTGAGTGAAGAGACACCTCTAGCACCAGTGGATTGGGAGCAAGAGGCAAGGTCAAAAAGGGCTTTCACCCAGCTTCTAGAGCCTGGCACTTCAAACTCAGACTTCTAGCCTCCTAAATTATAAGAGAATAAATCCCTGCTTGTTTAAGATCACTTATTTGTGGTATTTTCTGTTAGAGTAGCAAAAAGTAACCAAAACATGTAAAAGTGTTACATATTCTCATGCATAAGAGAGAAAAGGGTTTTGATACAGAAAAGCTTTAAGCATGTCTCTAACATTAGTTTATTCTAACTATAGCTCTCTGAATCTTAACCACAACTTGTTCTTCTTAACACCTATGTGAGTCAAATAAACAAAACCACCTTTTTTCCTGTACACTGCTTGTATCTAGGTCAAAGATGCAGTGGAAATTTTTACAGAAGTGACAGGCTGCATTGTATGACAGAAAAGTACAAAATGGAGTCACTTGGGTCAAGAAGGAATCTGGCCTGGATGTTAGCCAGAAATTTTAGTCATACCAACAGCCTTAGTTTTGAAATGCTCTTCGCAAAGGAAGGGTTCTTTTAAAAATAACAACTAAAGGCTTTGGCTTCAATAATAAAATTAAAATCTTAAGTCGCAAAAAACCACCAACT